ACAATTGTTGGGGCAAATTCATCCATTATCGGGCATATGTTGACGGTCAATTTTGTGGTCGGATTTGTGTGTAGTTTCAGTCATTTTCAACGTCACCAGTGGAAGAAAAAGTTAGCTAAAATCTATAGAGCCATATTTCTATCGGCGAAAATGGATTTTTTCGAATGTTATTTAACTGAGCGCCACATCCAAATTAAATTCATTTTTAACATTTGATAAAATAATACTTACCTACAGATAAATCTGTACTGAACTGTGCATGCACATTTAGACAATGTGTACTATACACAATCACCAAAGCCACAAAATACAAGCTTTGCTACTAACTACCAGAGTTATTATATTTTTTCTTTTTGATTTCGACGCTGCTTAATCATTGATCTGGAACAACGTTTGCATTGGCTCTTCTGCGTGCTGGTTGTCCTCTACGCAATGGTGTTCTTGGAGGTGGTGGTGCTCTGACATACGAGTTGTGCATTTCCAAATTGAATATGTAACAAAGACCTGTAATTAATAAGAGGCAATTTAAATTATTGGAAAATATACCAAATAAATTACAGTGTTTACCTTTGTACATGATGCATCTAGCCGCAACAATGTCTCGATGCCAAACGGTGCAAAATCGTTTTTGATGTTGCTGTTGTTGTTGTTGTTCCGAATATTTATCAGCGTCGCCTCCCATTTGAATTGCATTCACAGGGTTTAGTAGCCAGTTTTTCAGAAAGTACATTTTCTTTGACTCTAATCGCCCTGGTTGAAATTCTGCTGGTTGATTTGCTGGATCCATGATGCCTCTTTCGATCAATTTCTTCACGCAGCTATCTTTCTTTTTGCGTCGTTGACTCTTCTTCGTCACAATTAGCCGTGGTAGTGAGATATACGGTTCTATTTCTTGTGGTATTGGTGCATCGCGAGTACAGTGGCACACTTTGAATCGATATTTTTGTGTTTGAATCGGGAATTTCTTCTGGCAATTCGCACAGTGTTGAGATGTGAAATCTTCATTCACTTTGTGTACATCTGAATGGCCAAGTTTTTTAACGCTGCATTGAAGATGCCGTGTACCTGGGCATCATTTTCCCTTTTTTATGCCAATTAGTGAATTGGGTGCCATATCCACTGCTCCGATGTTTATAAGCGATGGCTCATTCTTTGTTATTACTTTCGCCAGACAATCTTTCTCACCTTGTGACCCGATGTATTTGTCAAACGAAAGCCGTGCATAACGTCGCCGAGCATATGCAGCCACTGCATCTTTCACCATGGTTAATCGATGCCTGACGTAATTTCTCCATCGGATTCCTCGCGGTGATGGTATCGATGGATAGCTTTCACGGTCCAATTGCTCTCGTTGCGTGAATCTGGCAGTCATACGCTTTCCCATTTTGTCTCTGACTTTTTGTCCGGCACCCCAATGATATGACTTCGAAGATATCTTGAAATTTTCCTTTAACAAAAAAATTTAAAAATGAGCATTGATTTTTGTAGAAAACATTTTATTTAAATATAAACTCACCTCAGTGCGATCTTCAATATTCCGACGAATTCCGGCTAAGTATGTTTTCATACCGGGATCAATTGCGACGATGTATTTATACTCATTATTCTCGAGTTTTTGCTTGATTCTTTGTCGATGCAGCTCCGTATTCTCGATCTCAGGCTTTGGTGTTCTGCTCACAGAAGACGTCAATTGTAATATTTGCGAACTCTGGTGGTGATTTACTAAATTACCTGCATTACAATGTGTGGCATGGTGATTTTTGTATGTATTGTATTTGCTTTGCTGACCAATATTACTATCGCTCAACACCATGCCGCACATTGTAATGGTGGTAATTTAGTAAATTACTACCAGAGTTCACAAATATTACAATTGACGCCTTCTGTGAGTGTACAATACCGACGCGGAAACGCTATCGCAGACTATCATGTGATGAAACTGTTGGTTCGGTTTCTTGATCTCGTTGATCTTGTCCATGTTGAACAAAATGGCCCATGCTTCATCTTCGTTCTCCTTGTAATAGTTACGGCTATACATATTATGCCCTCCATCATCATTGTTAAATATCTTCGGCACAACTTTCCATTGGGCCAGCAGGCTCATCAAATCAACTTGATCGAATTTAATGTGTTTCAACTGCGAGTCACATATCGGTATGACGGTGAAATTTCTTATTTTTGGTGGCAATGGCTTGGATGGTTTGCAATAAAAAAGCGGATGGCGTTGGTGTCGTAGCCATAATTGCACAAGATCGTGATGCTCTTCCAAAAATATACTTATTTCACGTTGAATGAAGATGAAAAACCACAACGATTCAAACCACTTTTTCTCGATGTATTCAATCATTGACAAATGGTTGCGAAATGATGGTAAACAGCGTACGGCGACTTGTTCATACAACTCATTCATTTTGTTCGTTCGGTGTTGATCGCCTCCGGTACAATCTTGATTGAACATAAGATTGTTCTTTGCATTTCTTATGTCAATGCCATCAAATTTTATGAGCCGATTAGGGCTTCGTTCAATTGATAGCGAATCATTTGCAAGAAGTTCTCCAATATATTATCTAAATGCGTTGTCAAATTTGTCGTAACATTTGACAAATATTGTTGATTCAAGTATTCAAATGCGTTGCCCATTTGGTACCTACTTGGCCATTCAAATTGATCATCGGCAATCATTTCAAGGAATCCACGTGGTATTTCCGGTTGATTTGGATTTTCCAAATTTTCTCGTGATACGGTGGCGAAAAACTCACATATAACATTTTTTCCAACACTGTCAATGAAATATTGCCGATCATCGTTATCTGCTGCAATGTTGACAACATATAAAAACAATGTCGAACCTAGGTAGCATATTACTGTACCATCGTAGCATTTATGGAAAAAATGCTCTGTTAGCGCTTCCGAATATTCAGACTTGAAAACCGAAGGCGCTGACAGTTTTATCGATCAAAGTGTCTGAATTTATTTTTGCACGTCTCCTCTTCATTGTAATGAAAATTAAATCTGTTCAGAAAAAAAACACGAAAAAAATTGTCAAATTCGTGACAAACAGTCCATTGATCACTTCAAAAAAAAATCAAGAAAAATGGTTCGTTTTTGAGTACTTACCAACAACACTGTCACATTCACTGCAAAATGACAAAAAGCGCGTTCGAAAATGTTGTATTCACGATGCAATGGTCGGCAATTGGAACACAAGGCTAGCGAGAGAGATTAAATAATTGCATAAATTTAATTAAAACACTTTTTCATTTGAAAAATATACAGGGTGGCGCATATAATAGGGCCACTCTTAGGGGGTGGGAATTTTGAAAAACCCTTTGGGGGGTATGTTGGGGGTAAAAAATAAAAAATTTCTATCTGAGCAGAATTTTGAATTTTTCCCCAGGGGGGTGGGGGTGCCCCAAATTTTTCAAAAGTTCATCGGATCAAAAAATAATGTACTACAAAATTGTTCAGAATGACGAGAGAAATTTTTTAAGACCCCCGCCCTCCAAGTCCCCCCACCCCTTAAGGGGGTCGGGGGGTCAAAAACCCCCAAAATGTGATTTTTTTGACCTGAAACCCAAAAATTCGGAACAGCCGGTGTATATTTGTATGAGATTGGAGACTTTTTTTTGCGAATCTCGCTAATGAGCGCCATCTGATTTTAGTGTGAATTAGATGCAAAAACTGAATTTAATTCTGTAGCATTGAAATGAAAAAGTGAAAAAACAACAACAATAGCACGGCCACACAGAGCTGTACATCTATGCGTGCTGATGCATACATACACATATACGCTTTCTTCATTCTTTCATTCCATTGCTATACGTATCTCACTGGTCAACAGATCTATGTAGCCATGTTACTGTTGTTGTTTTTTTTCTCTTTTTCGATTCAATTCATTGTAACTAAATTGAGTTCAACTATGGAATACAAGATGGCACAGATGAGGGGAATTCGCATTTTGTCTCTTCATAGGCTTAGCCGGTTGATCAAATATAAATACAAATTAAATTTCCAAAAAAGTTTGTAAATATAACCAATCTTAATCCGATCAATGCTAATAAAATTTATAGTTAATTGGCTTTGTTCTTTCAAATGTGGATTCCAATTGAAACGTTAGAGACGTAAGAGAAAATACCAAAAAAGAAAAAAGTTACACAGATATGTGTTACTAAATATAATATAATAAATGGTGTAAAGAATAGATAATTAAATAAATGGTATAAGCTATTTCTCTATTAAACCCAAACAAGCATCAACTTTGCAAATATACACATATTCATTTGTTTAGCTAAACAACATATACATTTTTTCCCTTTTTTCACAATTTTCAAATACAATCTCGATTTATTTATCATAGTTTATTATTGTTGTTCATACGCTTTTTATTGTTTATTCTTTTAGTTTTGTTTAAATTTTGGAAAGAGATTTGGATAAAAGCTGTTCATTTACACAAAAAAAGACAGAACTATTTCGTTATTGTAGACAATTTGTAAACCGTAACCGAAATCTGTTCCAAATCAAAATGTAATTATTATTAATATTATTATTCTAATTATTGGATGTTCTTTACTTTTTTTCTTTCATTTGAATAGAATTTTTCATTTTATAATCGAGTTGAGGTTCTAATAAATAACATTAGTAAAATGTTTTAATATATATATTATTATATGCAGTCATCAAGTGACAATGGTCATATGTCGACCCGCACATTAAATCGTCACAAAAAAATAATGATTACTTTTTCGACGAAAAATAAAATAATTTCAAAAATAAAAATTATTCTCTCTTATCGATTTTTTTAATGTATAAAAAAGGTCAATAATTTCATCATCTTTCCTCGCGTTTGGATGAGATGCGAAAAGAGTAAAACGCAGATTTTAGCAAGTTTCATAAGTGGTGAGAAGTGCTGCATCGACCGGTTCGAGGCAAGATGGACATGTTAGACTACGCATTAGCCAATCATCAATACAGCCAACATGATAGGTATGCATACAAGGTAGATAACGGATTGAATCGCCCACATTGAATTCAATCATACAAATAACACATTCGCGAGCCTTTTTGCATCCATCGTACAAGCCAACGGGTAAATGTTGTATTAAACCGATACGTTTTGCTATTTTCACTTGTTCCTCCTCAGTTAGATGAGACACTGGCCGACTCACCGACGGTGATGGATAGAATACTGGTTGCAAGACCTCCTGCAACAAAATAAAATATAAAATGGATATAAAAATCTACTATTCACTCAAAACTATGAATACAAATCGGGTGAATCATTGTTCTAACTTTTTGATTCGTCATCAAAGATAGCGCCATGCGTCAAAATACGATACTTACCGAATATAATGGTGACGGTCCCAATTGTTCTGTAGATTCTCGATTTGGTTCATTGCCACCTCGCAAGAGAGAGATGTCGTCTGTCGTTGACCGTTTAAAACAATTGCCCATTTTTGTAGTTTTTTTTTGTGTCACTATTTTTTGTTTAACTAGTATTAGATGATCGATTATAATATTTATTTGCGTTTTATTTTAGTTTGCTTTAGCTTTGGTTTTGTCACCCTTCGTTACGCATCACATTTATCAAATGAATGAAAAGGGTTATTCTATCACAAAAATAAATTATCAGCTTCAAACAAAGCAAATTCAATCTTTTAGCGTTACTTCTTGATTTGACTCGTGCACAGTTCAAACATATAAAAGTGCAAACTTTATTTCTCTCAATCAATTTTATTGCACCAAATGTCCAGCAATTTAAATATGCAAATGAAAATAACAAAAAAAAAAAAAAAAACAAACGGCAAAGAAAAAAAATAATACCGAAATCGAATCAACGAACGAACGAATGAAAGGGAAAAACACAACTAACGTGCGATGGTGTCGGCGATGAGAATGTATGGGCTGTAAGGTCAATTCATGATTGCATTCGTCGTTTTGAATGAAAATTGGCTCAATATTCTAACACAAAAAATCGAATATGTATTGACGCACGACATATGGTTTTATGAATCTAGTTTCGGCCCGATTTTAGTGCTATTATTCTCTGGTTTGTGTAAAACGATTAGAAGTTTTTATTCAGTTCCGTGTTTAGTTCTCCATTCGATTTTTATAATCATTACACTGGTCTGCCTGTCCTTGCATATATTTGCCTAGAGCACACACACAAAAAAATAGCAGCGACAATAAATGATTGATTTTTTTTTGCATAAATCTAATTATTCCAATGCTTCATCACTTTGATAGGGTTTCTGTTGTATTCCGGTTATTATTGCGATAACAAATGGAGAAAGTTGATTTACCGAAAAAAAATAATAAAAACTTCGATGGGTTTTTTCTCGTTACCACAATTTATCGGTTTATCTCTGTTTGGTTTGGGTTTGGAGTCGTTTTACGCAAAACGCAATAGTCTACTTGTTTCTTTGTCTGGTGAAATACACTGCGTCTCCTACAACATCAGCAGCAGCAATAGCAAAAAAAAAACATACAAAATACACAGTCATTTACTTGGAGCACATAACATTGCGTTGCGAAGAGCCGAACTGATGAATACCAAAATAACACTGTCTTCGCTGTATATTTTCTTTACACTGATTTTGTTGATTTCTTTTTTTCGTGTGCTGTGTGTATCAATGATAGAGACATACGAAAAATAATATATCAAACAAAAAATATCAAGCAAATGCACATTATTTTTTTTCGCAACAAAATTAATTTCACGAACAACACACGTATTTTCCACTTTTCAAATGTCGTATTTATTGAACGTAGTTTATAGGTTGGCACTTTGTGTGTCGACAGATTTTTTTCTATCTAGTTAATTGGATAAGATAAACTAATGCAATTTATCTCACAAAAATTTAAAAAAATTAATGCTTTGCAAACTCTTGTTTACGATGGCGAATAGTATACATTCGACTTATACCACAAATAACAGACGAGACGACATATTTACTTCGCTTGTGTTTTTTCACTTCTTCATTAATTTATTTTTGTTATTTTCGTTCAAATACTGATACTGTAGTGTGTGCGAATTGAGTTTGTATTTATCAGAAAAACACACATACACATGCAACTTATGATAGATACGCATTTCCCAGAGTGTATTGTAACGAAAATGAAAGAAAAAAAGCACCAAATGTCAGCTTATGTCAGCTGAGTTTGACTATAGTCAAATAGACGAGTACCAATTCACGACTGTAGTGGGCGACACCAATTTTATATTTGAATTTTCATTACAAATTCGTAATACAGCAAAAGTAATACAAACTAAATATATCTTTAAATAAAAACTGTTGGGGAATCAGATAGATTTCAGCGATATTTTTTAATAACAGCTTGAATGACATGCCATTCATATTTATTTGTTTTTGTAAGATTTTTTCCGTTACTACAGACGTAAAACAAAAACTCAAATTCTAGATTTTCACTTAAATCAACGATTTGATTTCGCTGGTGTGTCCACTGTCTACATATTTATTCTTTGTTTGATGTTTAGTAATGACAATGTTCCGATCAGTAATTAACTTAGAATTGTAGGCAAAGTGGAGTTCAATATCTTCCAAAGTTCGATTTTCCGTCTCGGGTAGAATTAAACCAAAGAGAGAAATGCAAGTGTACATTAACGACACGCCACGCAATGAAAAAGCTGTTTCGCAGTTGTAATAGATTTTGTTCGCAATGAAAGCAAAAAAGAAGTTTATTGACGCTACCATTCCACTTGCGATTTAATGGTAATAAAAAAAACTAACTTGAATGGAAACAATTCGGAGAGGAGCAACCATGGCATTCCGAATATGCTACAAAATGTGTATTGTACGTTAAGTTTTTGTATTTCAAATTTAATGATTTATTTACCGCAAGAAAATCCATTCTCTGCAAACAAATTAGATTTGAGTGATTTGATTTAATTTTCTGCAGAAGAATTTTTTTTTAAACGGCACTTGGCATTTATTTTTTCAAATACTTTCGTATTCATGAACGTATATGAATTTCGAATTTCGAAATCTGAAAGACATTCGAATTGAATTTGACAGTTGCCGTTCAACCATCGTCACTTTGAAAAAAGATGCAAACATCATAATTTTGTTTACATTTTAAAATGTGCTTTGTTTTGAGAATGCATCGTGGATTTTTAGTTCAAACAAACAGAATTCTTTCTTCTGATTTCAACGTAGATATTGTGAATTTGCAAAGAATAGATTTATTTACGGTGAATTTTGTGCTTGTTCTTGTTTTGTTTTTAAAATAACAGAACATTTCCAAAGTCACACAGTAAGAAATCAAAGCGGCATTACAGTGTATTTTGTATCGAATTGATAGGAAGTTCATTTTATTTGTGTGGAAGTGCATTCTTCATTTTATATATCTTTGTTGTGTGAATTTGATCTTTGTTGTGTGAAATATTAACTTCGAATTTGATGCCATTGGATTTTTGACTGTCAGAATATTGCGAATCGAATTCAGTTCAGCGAAAAATCCTTACAAGGCAAGTTGATTTAAACTGTTTGGCCATTCAATCATTGTTATTGTTGTACTCTCTATTGTGTGTGTTTTGTGCTTTGAAATTGCGATTTGACGTTGTGTGTAGCCTTCAATTGTTTATATAATTATTTAACGCATTTTTTCTTTCTTTTTTCCGTTTTTTTTTTTAATTTTGAAATAGACTGCAAAATGGGTCGCCACAAGGCAGCAGATCCAAACGCCGACCAAAGGTGTATAAAGCAAGGACTGCCATCAATTATCCGAGAACGATATCGCGATGTTATTATCGCGATCATTTCTATTCTGTCTATCAAAGCAACGAAAATTGCGTGCCTGGCATCATTACTCTTTCTTATGAAAGTAAGTTCAAAAATTTCATTTGTTTCAGTTTTTTGCTTTGAATAAAAAAAACATCAACTTCTTTTTTAATATTTCATCATAAATTCATCATATCATCCGAATGATTTTTCATTTCAATTCTGCTAATGACAATCAAATTCAATTTTTCGATATTATTTCATCATTTTCTATACGCAATTTACGGGCGATATTTTTCACTATTGTATTTGCATGAATTGATTCGATTGTTTGTTCGTTTGTTTGTGAATAGGTGAATGAAGCTGTTGATCACTTTGATGATGAATTTTTTGTATGGGATGATGGATCCAGCATGATTAAACGTTGTTTTAAGGCAGTACTACGTGACAACATCGGCAAAGTCTTTCTTATGCTACCGGATTTTCGGCAGTTGGTAGACGCTGCTAGAATCGATTGGCCCACCAATGGTGGATTTGGTAATAGTTTCAAGTACTTGTATGAACAATACGAAGACAACGTTCGAACAAACTTGAAAACGCATTGCGAATCCCGTTTGAGATTTTAACAACTTGTACGGCTCGCCCAATGAATTGCCATATTACGATGAAACTGACATCAAAAATGCCGTTGACTACGCATATCATCGGAAAGACAACACGAATGACGATGTTGAGCGACAGCTTCGATTGGGCGAGTTGTTGGATGAGCTACGTTGGTTAGGTGCACCAGAAGATTGCAACATTAAAGAATATGTCAGCGAAAATTGGTTCCATTCGATTCGTATGTGGATACATATTCAACGTGAAATCCAATGGTATCACAATGAGTACAAATGTCGTCGTGATGCACCACAAATTAAAAATTTTGTCGTTGTACCAATGTGCAGATTCCAACGTCGTCACATTCGCATCGATACCGACGCATTGTACACCATCCTAGCCAGTGTAAAATTGGTGCCATTGAAGTGCGGTTTGAAAAAACGCAAAGATAAAACGACCAATTCGATCAACATAACGAGCAACGAATTCCGCAGAAATAAAATCTTAAGTTGGAATCTGTTTTTCAATGTGGAAAAAATTCAACAACTGGTACATTTCAAAAAGTATTTCGATTTCCAAATTTGTTCGGACGGTGTGTCTGTTTCGATGATGTACAAAAAGCCAAAATTACCACCAGTCGAAATGAGTGATGCTGAAATCATGAAAATGTACAAAGGGAACAAATTGAAGTATGCTATTGGCTGTGACCCGGGCATGAAAACCTGGAACGCTTCAGTGCGTCGTGATTTGGATACCAAAGAAGAGGTAAATTCAATTTTTCATAATGAATGAAAGTGATTGATATTGTGATTGTGATTGTGAATACAATGTCGTTTTTGTTGTTATCATTTTGTTAGGTGAATTTGCGCATATCCAGCAAACGGTATCACTGGGATGCGAAACAAGGCCGACGTGATGCAAAAGCCGAACGAATCACCCGATTATTTACATACGACGAGAAAGCTGATCGCAATCGAGTTGCAGCGACTCTGGGTACAATGCCATCGCCAAGAGAAACATCATGGCGCTCGTATATTGAACATCGACTACGAGTTATGAATGATGGCATTGAAACGTACACGTGTAAGCAATATGCACGCTTGGGATTGGACAAGCATATCGACTCGGTTCGTGCGATCGACAAAACGGCTTGCAAACTGACACGCAATCAACCATCAATTTTCTACATGGGAGCCAGTGGATCCACACCAGCCAACTCACCGATCAAAATCAAAAAACACGTGCGATGCCCAGGCACTCGCAAACTGATTGCAGCCATCATGAAACGTGGAAATTGCATCATTCGAATGGTCGATGAATACATCACATCACAGCATTGCCCATTGTGTTTCAAGCGATTTCCACAAGAAACTCGACGTGATCGATACAAGAAATGTGTGGGTTGTGTACCAAATCCAATTGTTGGACTACCACGAACCATCGTAACCAATGTGAGCAAACGATTACTACAAATGCGACGAACAATTGAACGAATGTGGCGCGAGATGCGTGATATAGGCGATGTCATTGCTGCAACTCTTCGAGATGGACCGAATGCAGGTCGTTTGGTGTCAAAGAAGCAACGCTTCTTCAAAACATGGCTACCAAATGTTGCACACGTTGAAATCGAGGGAGCTGCTGGAGCAAAACCATCGCTCACAACTGTATGGCATCGTGATATCGCAGCAGCGAAGCTGATCCTGTACAAAGATATGCAATTAATTGAAATTGATACAAATTGAAAAAAATTGCAATGTCATTCGGTGTATGTTTTTCTTGTATCATTCGGTAGGTGAATGCTTGGTGTTCAAGCGGACGGTTCATCCGAACTTACGAAGACCTCGCCACAATGCCAACAATGTGCCACTACCGTTCTATGGGAATGGAAATCAGCAGCCATAGTAGCAGCCCTCATTCAACAATATTCAAACAATACTAAATTTAGAAATTAGTTTATAACAATTATTTGTTAGTTCGCTAGGCTTGATTAAATTGTGGCCTTGCCAAAGTACGAGTACCTCTTGGTATAAATTGTACTCGGTAAGTGGAGTCTATTGCATATACAATAGCATAATGATGATTATGAATCAAGTCAATTTTTTCATATCAGTTCAATTGAATTGTGCTTTCTTTTCTTTTTTTCTTTCCATTGCAACGGTAAAATTGACTGAAACTACACACGAATGCTACCCCAAATTCGACCGTAAACTTGGGCCTGGTAATGGGTGATTTGCGCTAACAATTGTTCCTTGGGAATGAAAACAATATCAAACAATGTTGATTAACATGGTTGGTGTTTGAATTCTTTAAAGTAACATCTTTTAATTGAATTGATTCTTAAATATAAGATTTTTCTGAAAGATAAGAAAATATTTTCTTACAAAATGAAATAATAACAATGTCTGAACGAAGAAAAAAGATCGAGTAACACGTTTCCAATCGCATATAAATTTGCATTACTTCTTCCTTTTTTTATTACGGTGAGAAATTTGAAGCGTCACAACTTCATGTTCTGCTTTGTGTTTGTATGCGTATATATAAACAATGTAAACGAAAGCACCGTGAACATTTCACATAAATGATAGTTTCTGCGACAAAAAGAGACGACAAACACTCAAAACTGTGAGCACACACATTTTTATGCAGACTAGCAAAGTCAGTTGTCAAAAAACGTTCATAAGTGAAGTGAGAACTCAGAGAAATTCATGCTAAACTGTTTCAGAATTTAATAAAATAGTTTTAAAATCAAAAATGAGTTACTATACAGATGATTCCTTAGAATTCCCGTTGATGTACGATGAAGACGATAATTATGTTCTTGTGTATATCGACGGTGCATGTATGTATAATGGAAGGTGGAATGCTTCGGCGGGCATTGGTGTAGTCTTTGGCATTGACCATCCCAAGTAAGTATATCTTTTTTTTATTTTGAACACTATCTATAAATTAAACAAAAATTTGCTGTCACAGTGTTTTATATAAAATTGACGGTTTTGTCGTTTTTTTCCATTTTGTACTTGCAAACTACAAACAATATATATTTTTAATTGAAAGTAGTAAAAAATTTTAGGTTATGTATGTCTGTACAGTTTTGTTAGTTTTGATTAAAGAAGCTGATTCGTAATCAATTCTTCTTACATTTTAAGGGCAAACAATGTTGATATGACATCTACATATTGATTATTAATTTTAATTTTATTTCAATTTTCAGCAATTATGGGGGACCCGTTCGTGGTCGTCGTGCCACAAACAATTCGGCAGAAATTCAAGCAGCTACATGGGCCATCAATGAAGTCAACAACATGGATATTGGCATTGATGCGATTCGTTTAATGACTGATTCACATTTTTTGATGAATTCTATAAATCAATGGTTACATTTGTGGAAACGGAACAATTGGCACAAGACCAACGGTGAACCATTGGCAAACCGAATTGATTTCATACATCTTGACCGTGCGATGCGTAATTTTGACGGTCTTGTCGATGTTGACTACGTTCCATCACATATGGGTGATCCGTACAATGAATTGGCAGACGAACTTGCTAAGATGGGCGCCGAAGAATACTACTACAATCGTCTTCATTAAGTACAATAACACAAAAAAATTCCTCAATTTATGCGTAAACATTTCCTCACAAATATTATTCATTAATTATTAAATTTATTTAAAAAAAAAACACACAAAAACTCGAAAAAAAATTTAAAAGCTATTTTAAGAACTAAATGCAATGATAAACTTTTTCGTGTATCTAAACTAAAATGATTGTTAAACATGTAATAGCTAATAAAATGATATTTATATATTTGATCAGAATTTCTCGTCGCGATTCTTTGGCATTTGCAATAAATTCGTCGCACAAACAAATTGTATATATCCAACAGAAAATCTGAAAGACAGTATAACTTGCAATTTAAAAATATACAAAAAAATACACAATTTATGTCCACCCTACCTGAATGGCGGAAATATCGTAGGCAATCAGCGAAAAATTGCCTGGTATAAAATATTCCAAATTCAAAGACCATAAATATTCATCGAGGCTGATATAAGTTGCAATTAAAAGTTGTATAACGATGATGAGTGTTAGCATACTTAAAACCTATGAAAAAATAAAATCCAAACAAAAATAAATGTAAATTATATCTATCCGAATAGAAATGTTTTTTTTTTTTTCACTCACAAACAGTGATGCATTTAAATCTTTCCATAGTATAGCACTGTAGCTCAAATAAGCAATCTATACTGTTATCAAACCAATCAATAAAATACTTAATGGGATTGTCCAAGCCCATGTATCTTGATCTATAAAATAATCAGATATTATAAAATAATCGATGCACTTACAAAATAAAATTGAAGACAACAAATATTTACAAATAGTGGGATTTTCCAGTAAACTTGAAAGCCCGACTGCGAATAGAATAAAACCGGTGATCTGGAAATGAAATTTGCTTATCAATAAAATTGCAATTAATATGGAACAACGACAATACTTACAGCGAGCAAACATGCCATTACAATTTTCGAAATTTGCTCTTTAATTTGAATATTTGAACATTCATCTTTAATGGACACACTCTAAAAAAACAAATAATTATGAAAATGGTCATATTTATTAGTCATCACATACAACTGAATATAGCTTATTAACTTTGCATTCCTCTTTAATGGAATTCATTTCTATTTTGTTCTATCACTTTTGCAAATGATAACAAAAAATAAATGAATAGGTAAATATTTATAAACTGAAACTTCAGCGGTAATTCACTAAAATAATTCTTTGTGCTTTTTTTTATCGAATTTCACGAATATTGTTTTCAATGTACTAAGCGGTGTGGGCTAATCATTTGTCTACATCTGATTGACAAATTTTAATGACCATTTCGGAAAACAACAAGCGGAAATAGATTAAACAAAAAATGTATACAAACAATAAACAATTTAGTAAAAAAAGGGGAGTTTCGTTTATCGGTGACCGTAGAAATTCATTGAATCTCGGTTTATCACTTTTTGACTTTTGGCTATTTTTAATCATGCGTCGTCACAACTATTCATTGATAACGATAAAACCATGCTATTATTATTGCATAGCAAACCGTTCACAATGAAAATTAGACCACATTATTATAGATATAAACGATTTCGATTATACTATTTGATTTGGTGATGGTGATTGTTGTAGCACCAAATCTGCTCGGTAGATAAACTTATCAAGTTTGTAATTTCTTACATGTGTTACTCTAGTGAAGATTCTTCTTTGTCTCTGAAGATAAATTGTATTATTTTTTAGTGGTTTTCGTAGTAGCATTTTCATTCTATGAATGTAAAAATTATTCAAAATATAGCGCTATAGCGAAAAAAGAAGAAGTTTTTCTATAGAGAAAAAGTAATTACGCATCATCATTTAAAAATACGAATATCCATTTTATGAATTTTTAGATAATCAAATCATTTTAATAAGATTCCTAATAGAACTTTTTTTTTAATTAATGAAGCTAAATTTAACTTTTCTGTAATACTTAAATTTCTATTTCTTAAATAGAAAAATAGTCAGTTAATATTGTAAATAGATAGGAGAGAAAAAAGTCGCTGTTAAAGTTCTCCACTGAGCTAGCTACTCAATTCTCTCGTAGCCATACATTTCTGGAATGAGTATCGAGTCTTCATATTCCAAATAATCAAAACCATTGTCCCGCATCTGTTTCATTCGCTTCCTCGATGGATATTTACCCCTTTCCAACTTATCGAATCTGTAAATGGTCAGATTTTATTTTTAATTTTAGCATTGTTTGAACAGTTTTTTTTTAAATTGTTTGTATTGCGTGTCTCGTTACTTACGATGGGTACACCTCGTTATAATGACGCTGCTGAAAATCGTATAACTGCAAAATGAATAAGATTGAATTGAAATCGACATTATTTGGCGAAATACAATTTTTTTGGCACACATTGAATAGAACTCACCAATTTGTTGGTCGGATATGCCAAATTATTATCAATCATGAAAACGCTGATTACATCAATTTTTCCTCTGGTGTCAAACATATCGAAGTAGAGAGTCTTTTCCTAAAAAAAAATTTCCAAAAAAGAAAAATTGAATGCATTGGAAATGAAAATGGAAATGATAAAATCTTACCTGGACATTGACATTGGTCAATTTAACCAAAACTACCGTGTCTTTAAAAACATTCATTCGTTGTTCAAATACGTTCATTGCTTCAAATGTCCATATGCCATCGTTTGGTTTACATCGATCCAAACATCCGCGATGCGCATAAATTGGACTTTTTGAGAATCGTTTGTTCAAAAATCGTACATTTTTTTTCTCTACTTCGTCAAGCGTACCATAATCAACGTAAAATACCTGCATTTCAACCCGTTGAACAAAAAAAAAAACAGAATAAAAATTGAATCAAATGGAAACCAATCAAGCAATATAAATGCATTGAATGACATGTGTATTAGGGTGGAACATTTTTGGCACAATTTTATGGCCATTTCAGAAAACATATCTTATAGTCCCCAGATTCAAGATATGAAGAAATTTTCAACTTTCGATTTTTTGTTTTTGAGAAAAAAAGTAAAATTTTTGTATGGAAGGCACCTTTATTTTTGGTTGAAACTTCATGAAACTTGGTGATATTACTTATTTTGGTCAGAAAATAAGATTCACAAGTTTTCATGGTAATTGGGTCACTGCAAATTTTCATGATTTTCCAGTAAAATGTAAATCCTTTCCTTTCACGTCGCTGTCTTATATGGAATCGCAAGTTGAAAATTCCTTGATATCTTGAATCTGGGGACTATAAGACATGTTTTCTCAAGTGGCCTATCAAGATATGCCTCAAAATTCAAAAAAATGTTCCACCCTAATGTGTATGCCATAAATAACTAACCACCAATGATTTATCCAAAACTTCAACGATTTCCGCACGATGCCATTGTGAATCAAACAATGCAGCACACACACGGCCCACCAGAAGCTGTGTTTCGGGTATTGGACGTTTGGCAATCATACTCTCATCAGAAGTATAGTAATAACTGTAAAAAAGTTTTTAATTTAAAATAAAAAAAACGTATACTAAATAATGACCATCAATCAATTAACTAGAGTTAAAATTGGCAGCGAATTTTTGCGAAATTAAAATCGATAATATAATATATTCGTATACACATACTCCATGCTACTCATGAGTGTCTCAATCTGTTCGACGTCATCTTTTAGGTGAACCCAGAATCGATATGGACTGTGAATTTGTGTAATGTTGTACCAGTTGTAAAACATTCATCGAATTTAATTTTCGGCAAACCTCCAAATTCAATATGTTTCTCCTCGAATTGTAACAGTTCAAAGTCAAATTTTAGTTCAAAGCTGCTATCATCTTTGTCCGGATCATTGTCGTCGCTCACTTGTTGGGTGTCGACCGTGCTCACACTGGTTCTATCATATTCATTGTTCATCTGTTCGTTGTGATTTGTTTGTGATACTGATTGTACACGGTCATCGACAGAGTCTGTATGACGTTTGCTTTCAACACCATTTGCTTGTGATGCATCAATAGAATTTGCAGAATTGTTATACGGCACGTTGTTGTTGATTCGCTTTGTGTTGGTGCTCATCATGATTTTCAGCGTTTCTTTGCGTGGAGACGAGCGATTCGGATTTTCATGACGAAAATCAGTTTTCAGTTGTGCACGACCGTTTCTGCAACGTGCACGTCTGACAAAAGTGAAAATCGATATCACGATTAAAACGAACAAACAGATAAATTGTTTGCTAATTGATTTGATAGCTACGTTATTTGCATTGAGAAAGAGAGCGAATTTTTAATCTAAATCAAATAAATCCAAAAAAACCAATACCAATTGTCAATTTATACAAATACGCCGACAATCGACATATTAGGCAATTTCACACAATTATATTTAATTAAATCAATAAATGGAATTTAATGACAACGATAAGGAAAAAAATGTTTACCGTTTAGACCTCTTCTGCCCGGCCACCAAATCTTGAATATGTCGGGTTTTATCAGTATGAACAGCAAAAACCAACATCTGACCATGACGTAGTTTCTATTTCGATTGACAGTATATGTAAATTGAAAACATTTTTTGAGTATGTTTTTTTCTCCTCATTCAATGAGAATGGATGGAAATTACTTACAGTGTAAACAGTGTCATTCAATGAGTTGAGCACATCAATTGTGTCGTGATAATTGAATGAAGGTATATTTTTACCTTCGAGCTCTTTGTAAATTTTCTCAAGTAAACGGATTGGAACGCCATTTCGTTTCAGTGATACTATTATGGCGCGCAAAACTTACTTCAGTTCGTCTATTTCTTTGTAATTTTCCATCGTTTGTTCTTGATCGGATTTAATTTGGAAATCGGCCGAAAAACAAAAATGAAATAATTTACTTGACACGCAGTCAAAAAATGCGTTGTGCTGTCAAAAGTGTTTATAATCCCATGGCCTCATCAAGTGTGACAATGCTCTCTAGCTGAACACTACAGTAGCATAGATACACAGTCAAAATATTGTTGTTGCTTGTCAGGCTTACATTCTAATTTGAAGTCAACGCAATACACATACAATACAATCACACGGATGCAAGTATTTTGTATACACAATGTGATTGAAAAGAGAAACCCTAATTGGAACGAGATATTGTTCACGAAAATTTGTTAATCACATTCGCTGTTTTGTTCTATTTCATGCAATTCTGTTTATTTATCCCTTTCACTCGCATTCGGTTTGAATCGTGAGAAGAAATACATACATACAACTGAAAATGTATCGAATGACAGACAAATCTGCACAAACACACCGACCACACACAATTAATGCTTTAAGATCTTTGGCTTCATTTATGAAAAACGAACAGAGTGTGCCGTATTCATTTGGAGCGTTTGTATTGTATGTGATTTGCAAATGTTTTTACGTCACGAATGAATGGGATGAGTTCTTGCATTTGAATATAATCTAGGGCTATGGGTCCGCAGTATGATGAGCAATATCTGATGATTTTTTGTATGGCTTCTCGGAATGAATGCTTCGATTCTCAAGTTTTTCAATGATTTTCCAAATGTGGTTAGAATATTTTCAATTTTTAAATTGTAGAGTGACATATACTATATTAATAATCTATTACCTATCGACGAACTGTAGATCAATGTTGTGAAAAATGGTTTGTTCTCAACATCTAGCTTTGAAATTGAGTACAAATCCTCCATCGGCAAAAACATAAAAATATGCAACCAACAGTCCGGGTTGAGAATTCGTAGCTTTTTTTTTGCTGCATGTTCGAATTCTAATAATTAATGTTAAAATACAATTATTAAATTATTGCATCTGCTGCTGGAATCAAAGAAATAATGAGAGAAAACAAACATATCATCATAATACTAAATACGATTATATTACTAGATAAGATTTTCTAATTGATTTCAGACATTTTGTTCTTTTAAAGATTATCTTGTATACATATTTTTAATACAATCACATTTACTCAAGATTCGTAAAAAAAAACTAATCTTACTTTATCTTAATATATATGAATTAGTTATTTAAGTCTTATTCCAGTAATTTCATGATCTCATCATAGCTCCTTCCTGGAATCGCAAAAGATGAAGAAGGTTAGAATTTAATGGAAATAATGAAATGTGATTAATTTACCCTTTGTCTCGGGCATGAATAAAACGATCAAAACGGCGCTAACTATAGAATATCCAGCAAATAAGAACATCATTCCGTGCATTCCAAGTGTTGCCTTTAGAAGTGGCATGTATTTTACAATAACAAAATTCAACGACCACAAAATGATCATGCAAAATGATGGGCCAAAGTTCTTTAATTTTTCCGGCATGATTTCAGCGATGACCAAGAACGGCAAGCTAAGAACGGCCTAATGGAGAAAAATAAAAGAAACTTAATTTTCTTTCAGTTTGATCAACCAAAAATGTTGAACATTAAGTTTAATATATTTTAATTTTGGCAACTCTAACGAAGTCAAAAAAGGACTTAAATTTCCCATACCCACGAAGCGATGAAAATTACGAATGAGAAGCTGGCAATTGGAATCCAGTTGAAGATTTCAACATCGTAGCCATTTGTTTTTAACATCATGAATATACCAAAAGTGGTCAAACCCAAAGTGATGCCAACAGTTGAGACAACGTACAAAAACTGAAAAGAATTTCTTTATTGATCATATTAAGGATAAAACCAGGATAAAAAAAACATAATATACCTTCCGTCCAGCTCGATCAACTAAAAATGTTGCTATATATGCTCCTAATAGGGAGAAACAAAAGAATATCATTATAATTATCTTTTGATTTAATCAACCAAAAATATTGAACATTAAGTTTAATATGTTTTAATTTAGACTTTTGTTCCAAGGAACGAAATTGAAAAAAGGCTTAAATTCTCCATACCAATGAGCTGTATCACACCAACAATAATTGTACAGATATTTTCATCCAAAGACGATCCAGATTCCCTGAAAATATCAGTTGTATAATAAGTCATCGCAACGCAGCCACAGCATTGATTTAATAGCACGAAAAATATTCCAATCATCATTGCTTTTTTGCCTGGTCCCGACCATAAATCCGACCATTTCATTAAATGTTCGTTGCTCTTTTTCATGTCATCAACACCGACCGTATTTTTCAAACGATTCATTTCAGTTTGTAGCAGTTCATAGTTGTTGTCTTTTCCTTTTAAATTTTGATAAAACCGAATTGATTCTTCGGCCTCCTGATGATTGGAATTAATCCAAATTAATCAGCCATTTAATTCATTTTAATGTTGAAGAAAATGATAAGTTTTATACTCACAGAAGATTTGTTCTGCTCAATGAGGAAGGATGGTGACTCAGGAAGAAAGTAAAGTAGAACGCCACACACGGTGGTTAATGCGATTACAAATTTTGGTGGCGCATAGAAATTGAAATAATATCCAAAGATAAATTCGAGTAAAATGCCTACGTTACAGCTTACGGCCAGTGTGGCACCTAAAAGTCCTCTAATGCGATCAATTGCGATTTCGGATAAAAAAGCTGGCACAATGACGAAAAGACCTCCACCTACAAAACCATTCAATATCCGCGATACGTATCTTTGTGAAATAATATTTGGTTTTATTTAGTTGAGTTCCATCTGCCCAAAAATAAAAGTTTACTTACAGATAAATTACGTTTTGAGCAAATAAAATGAGTAACCAACTTATCTACAAAAATCAAGAAAATTTATCAATTATTTCATTTCCACGTAATGAATGTTGACTCTGATTATTTGCCAAATTGATCGATAAAAAAGTACTCACAATAATTGGAACCGTCATCATTGTCAATGGAGTTTTGCGTCCAAATTTGCTTGTAACATAGCCTAAAGGTGACACATTCATATTCTTAGTTCATTGAACATCCAAAAACTAGAAAACCTTCTATTCATGAGCTTTTATAAACTTACCGAAAAAGACGTTACCAATCAAACAACCGAAACAAAGTAGAGAAGCAATCCACGATCTGATAACCGAGAACAAATATTAACAAAAAACATCGCATTCATTTTTCTTTCTTAAACGATCGAAATTTTTACATTTTTGAAATGAATGTTTTGGATTATAATGTTTTTTTTTTTTTTTTCGAAAATAATCGTACCCTTCGTCTTCTGTTACTTTCCCAGTTAGTAATGGTGATTTATTTGATTTTAAAACAACAAGGTTCGGACCCGACCAACTAAATATAAATAAAAATATTAAATTAAAAGAAATAAAATTAAATAAAAAAGGAAAACTAATTCACCCCAATGTGACTCCGAATCCGATAATCAGCAAATTCACTATTTTTATTTTGTAAAATTAAATTTGTATTTAAAAAAAAACTGTATTCATTCTCTTCTTCGTAGTACTGAGTTCGTACATACCAACAAATGCAGCAAAATATTGATTTTTTGCACTTGATTCGTGCACAATTTGTGTATGTTCTTTCACCATTTTCAAACTAAAAAAAATAAAAGCCAACAACGAAGCCAATGCTGGAATGAACAAAATGGCAATTACTACCAAGGAGCAACTCACAAAATGAACGTTTCTACCTGAACGGTGCGATCATATACGGTGTAATGAGGAAGTTTATCACTAAACCAGCGTTTTTAACGAAATATTTATCGTTGACCTAGATTAGGAAGCCTGTCAAGTGCGTTGTTGCATCTTCCATGTTTTGTTTGTTCATGAAATCGATTTTATCAGTTCTTTAACCTTCAAATATTATGTTTGAAACTTACCGAATTTTTTACCATACCCACCAACCAATTGACAAAAAAGATTATTTTGTTTGTGGTTGGACACAATCAAATCGTTTTCTATCCACTTGATTAGTCAATCGTTTGATGTGACCGCAAACAAAAAGTCTGTACGTATCCAAAATTACTATCTGTTCAACTGGACATCTCAATTGTCCAATTTGTCTAATTATCCTTGAGATTTTCTATCAATTTTCATTAACTGACACGCACTTGTGCAAAACTCTATGAACAAAATGATGTTATTTTCAAGAGGATACTTGCACGATTACGATATGATCAATATTTTCGTCAACATTTTGGTAATTCATCTATCTTCGGTGAATCAGTCAATCAATCAAAATTGTATGAAGTTTGCATTGAATTTGTTTTGTCATTTGTTGTCAACCCCAATGCAGCATTGAATTATTTGCTTTTATGAAAATATCTGATTCATGATCTCTACTGTCCAATAGACCGTTTTGTATTTACGAAATCTGATATTTTTGCACTTGTTTTCGTTTATGAATTTTTTTATTGTTCCAGCAAAGTGATTGGACGATTAGTAACATCTGTATTAACTGAAACATATTTTTCCCCCAATGAATCAGCTTATCTATATAATTTTCCTTGTAAAATCGATCATCAATGGACGCCAACATAGTTCCCTGAAAAATTACAAAGTTCTCGCTTTATCTATTCAACGCATCGTTCAAATACATATGATCTTAATTTATAGATATGAAATATCATGAGAGGTCTCGTCTATCATATTTGTCCGATTTGTGAATTTAGGCAAGACGGAGAAAAAAGTCATTTATTTCTGGAATGCTCGAAATTTTCTAAAAAAAATATTACAAACTAAAAAAAAATTGTCAAAACTAATATTTTGAGTATATCTGAAGAAAAGATACTCGAGTATATGTTTTGATCCAACCTACAATGATGAATAAGAACGCTGGTTATGCTTAAAATATCGTTGGATTATTTTTAAAGGTTTTTATGGTTGTTTTCAATAATTGACTTCTTTTTTTTGGAGTTACCCACTAAACAATTGTTGGGGCAAATTTATCCATTTTCGGGGTATATATTGATGGTCGAATGCGGGGTTGCAGTTGTGTGTTGTTTCAGTCGAATTTAACGTCATAATGAAATGAAAAAAGAGACAAAAAGAGTTATGCATAAAATTTCCAATGAATTGAAATCAATATGTTAATTAAAATAGAGCTTTAAAATCAACACCAATAAAAATTGTAATCAATTAGTTGGTAAAATAATCTTACCGTGGGGTACTTTATACATAATATCTCAGATATTATGTACAAATCAAAGCCACAAAATACAAGCTTTGGTAATAACTATTTTAGTTAACATGTTTTCTTTTCTTCAATTGATTGATGCTGGCTGATCATTATTGTTTACTTGGACTGGAACAACATTTGCATTTTCTCTTGGTTTTCTGCGTACCGGTGGTTTTTTACGATATGGTAGTCTTCGAGGTTGTGGTGGTCTCACAAACGAATTTATCAATGTTAAATCGAAAATGAAACATAGAGCTGTAATCAATAAATTTGAGTTAATATTATTCAAAATAAATTAATACAGAAAATTGTACCTTTGTACATTATGCACCTTGCCGCAACAATGTCTCGATGCCAAACAATGGTAAATCGCAGCTTTCGATATTTATGTTCTTGTTCCGGTTGTTGTTGTTGTTGTTGTTGTTGATGATCATTGGTGTTCGCAGCATCGTCTCCCATTTGAAGTGCATTCACAGAGTTTAGCGGCCAGTTTTTCCAATAGTGCATTTTGGGTGACGCTAATCGCTCTGGTTTGGATTCTTTTGGCAGATTTGCTTGATTTACTAGACCTCTGTCGATCAACTTTTTCACACAACGGTCCAACGTTTTGCGTCGTGAGCCCTTTTTTGACACAATTAGCGGCGGCAACGACATGTATTTGGCAATCTCCGCTGGTATTGGAGCATTGCGTGGACAATTCTTGCATGCTTTGAATCGGAATTTTTTCGTTTCTTTCGGGAACTTCACCATGCAACTGGCACAGTGTTGCGATGTGTAAGCTTCGTCCACTCTAAAGACATCTGAATGATGTAATTTTTTAACGCTGTTTTCAAGACGTCGTGTTCCCGGGCATCGTTTGGTCTTCTTCTTACCGATTGGCGAATTGGCTGGCAAGTCCGCGTCTCCGATGGTAAACAGCGATGGCTTATTCTTTGTCAATGATTTTGCTAACCAATCGGTTTCGTGCTGTGAGTCGATGTACTTGTCCAACGATAGCCGTGCATATCGTCGCCGAGCATATGCCGCCAATCCATCCTGCATCATTTTCAATCGATGATCGAGATAGTATATCCAGCCGTTTCCGCGCGGTGATGGTATTACTAGATAGTTTTCCTCGCGATCGGACTGTTCCATCTTCGTGAATGTTGCTGTCATGCGTTTCGCTCTTTTGTCGCGAATACCTTGTCGGGCACCCCAATGATATTGCTTCGGTGATATTTTGATGTTTTCCTTTGATAAAACCAAAATAAAAACAATCAATACATTAAATCTAGAAAATTTTGAAATTTAAATTAAAAAAAAAATGATTTAATCAACTTACTTCGACACAAGTTTCAATGTTCCGACGAAATCCAGCATAGTATGTGTTCACGCCGGGATCAAGTGGGATGATATACGTGTAATCACCGGCTTCAAGTTTTTGTTTGATTCGTTCGCGATTGAATTCGGTCTTCTCATGTTTTGGTGTTTCGAATAGTACCGAAGCCGAAACGCTATCGCACACAATCATACGGTGAAATTGCTGGTTTGGTCTTTTGAGTTCATTGATTTTCTTCATGTCGAATAAAATATTCCAAGCGTCGTATGGGTTTTCTTCAAAATGATTGTTGCTATATAAAGAACTGCCTCCATATTTTCCACCGAATTCTTCTGGAATCAGTTTCCATCGAGCCAATAGTGCTAACAAATCCTTATGATCGAATCTGATGTGTTTGAGTTTATTATCACATAACGGTACAACCGGGTAGGAATATCAAATGCAAGCACTCAAAAAAACTTACTCCTAGCGCCACCAACCTATAAGTTGTGTATTGTGAGAGCCAACTTCAGACAGATTGTATATATGTGACAACTATTTTTTGACATTTGTAAAACCGGCAATTAGGTGTTTGTGTTTCAACTATAAACATTAAACATGCGAAAAGTAATTTTGCTTTTTTTTTATTAATCATCATTATACTGTGACTTTTTTTCTTAATTTTTACATTTTTATTTTTTTGATTCATTATTGGTTGTTTTTTGTGCTTTACTTTCATTTTTTCCCTGAAATTTAGAAGTGTGGAATGTGCGAAAAATCGTTCATTCGTTTACAAACTTTGCGGGAACACGTCGAAAATGTTCACCAGCCAATGAAGAAAAAATTCAAATGCCCGAATTGCGACATATTTTGCTCGCACATAATCAGAAGTTGCCGAATCAGCTTTTGCCGAATCAGCTTTTGCCGAATCAGCTGTTGCTGAATCAGCTGTTGCCGAACCATGATCTATTATCTGTAAACGTGTGAATAGATCAATCAACAATTTTTTCAAAATACTTACATTTGAAGAAAATGTGCCTTTAAATTGTGCGGTCTCGAGCAAAATATGTCGCAATTCGGGTATTTGAATTTTTTCTTCATTGGCTGGTGAACATTTTCGACGTGTTCCCGCAAAGTTTGTAAACGAATGAACGATTTTTCGCACATTCCACACTTCTAAATTTCAGGGAAAAAATGAATTGGGTACGCCAATTCCTTCTCACAATGTGTGGTATGCTGTGTTGTCACATTGCTAAGGTATTGTTGATGCATATACTCAAATGCATTTCCCATCAGATCACGAGATGGCCACTCAAATTCGTTGTTAGTCAATTTCTCGACCATTTCTCGAAAATCGTCTGGCATTTGATTTGTAAATTCACCATCGATGCGTGCCACAGCGGTGAAAATTTTACGAATTTCCTTTTTTCCATTAGTTGTAATAAAATAATCATGATCATCGTTATCAAACGCCTCGTTGACTTTATACAGCAATAAAAGTGACGCCAGATACGATATTTTTGATGCTTTCAAGCATCCCAATAAACAATTGTTGGGGCAAATTCATCCATTATCGGGCATATGTTGACGGTCAATTTTGTGGCCGGATTTGTGTGTAGTTTCAGTCATTTTCAACGTCACCAGTGGAAAAAAAAGAAGGAGAAAGAAACAGTTAGCTAAAATCTATAGAGCCATATTTCTATCGGCGAAAATGGATTTTTTTCGAATGTTATTTAACTGAGCGCCGTATCCAAATTAAATTCATTTTTAACATTTGATAAAATAATACTTACCTAAAGATAAATCTGTACTGAACTGTGTACAATTACACATTTAGACAATGTGTACTATACACAATCACCAAAGCCACAAAATACAAGCTTTGCTACTAACTACCAGAGTTATTATATTTTTTTTTTTTGATTTCGACGCTGCTTAATCATTGATCTGGAACAACGTTTGCATTGGCTCTTCTGCGTGCTGGTTGTCTTCTACGCAATTGTGGTCTTGGAGGTGCTGGTTCTCTGACATACGAGTTGTGCATTTCCAAATTGAATATGTAACAAAGACCTGTAATTAATAAGAGGCAATTTAAATTATTGGAAAATATACCAAATAAATTACAGTGTTTACCTTTGTACATAATGCATCTAGCCGCAACAATGTCTCGATTCCAAACGGTGCAAAATCGTTTTTGATGTTGCTGTTGTTCTTGTTGTTCCGGA